CAGACCCTCAGCGTCACCTCCAGCCTGGGGCTGCTGCTGACGGCCAGCGAGGCTGGCTCGGACACCTCCTACTGCTTCTCCTCGGTGGCCAAGATCCAGGTGGAGGAGAGCTTCATCCCGGAGCGCCGGGACAAGGACAGCCCGGCCAGGCCTGGCCTGCGGGGCAGAGTCTACGACTACTTCGCGCAGTCCACCTCCGAGTCGGTGTCCAGGCGGACGTCCCTGCCCTTCGTCCCTGCGGGGCCGCCCCGGCAGCGGGGCCGGGCAGAGCCGCAGAGCTGCGGAACCCAGCGGGAGAATCCAGCTCTGGAAACTCCCCATCCCGACACCTCCTCAGCTCCGCAGGAGGGCACGGAGAGCCCTCCAGAGCCGCCTTGCCCCGGCTGGAAAGGCAGCACCGCTGGGATCGCCCCCCAGCTCCCGCTGCCCGGCGGAGCTCCATCGCCGGCCCAGGTGTCGCAGCCCGGCCGGGTGCACCTGGGGAACTGCTCCGAGGTTCTGCGCGCAGCCAAGGCGCGGCAGCTGCGGGACGCGGCGCTCCAGGTGATGAGCGCCCACCTGCTGCAGGTGCTGCGCTCCCCGGCCACCTACGGCCGCCTCAACGCCGGCGAGCGGGAGCTGCTCCCGGCGCTCCGCAGCCGCGGCCGGCCGCGCCTGGTGGTGGCCGACGTCCCCGCGGCCCAGCCCGGCCACCGCCGCGGCCGCCTCTGCTACTACGACGAGGACGCGGACCGCTGGTGCCAGCTGTGCCAGCTGCCGGCCGAGGTGTCCGGGCGGGGCTGCGCCGTGTGCTCCATGTTCAACTACCTGTTCGTGGTGCCCGGCTGGGAGGGCGCGGGCCGGGCGCGGAGCCCCTCTGGCCGCGTGCTGTGCTACGACCCCCTGGGCGACAGCTGGCGCGACATCTGTCCCCTGCGCCAGGCGCGGCCGCACTGCCAGCTGCTGGCGCTGGACGGACACCTCTACGCCATCGGGGGCGAGTGCTTGGCCACCGTGGAGCGCTACGACCCCAGGCGTGACCTCTGGGCCTTCGCCGCCGCCCTGCCCAGGGACACCTTCGCCGTGGCCCACGCGGCCGCCACGTGCCACGGGGACATCTTTGTCACCGGGGGCACGCTGCGCTCGCTGCTGCTGCGCTACGACGCCCGCCGGGACAGCTGGACCGCCAGCCCGGCCTTGGACGGCCCGGGCAGGACGGCCGCGCTGGTGGGCACCCATGGGTTCCTGTACCGCTTCCAGCTGCGGCGCGGCACGGGCGGCAGCGAGGTGGCCGTGTGGCGGTGCGGCGGCGGCACCGGGCCGTGGCACGGCTGCGGCAGCCACCCCCTGCCCGAGCGGGCCGGGCTGCAATGTGCCGCCCTGGGCGGCCTCGTCCACTGCCTGGGCCGCGGCTTCCACCTCCGCTTCCCGGCCGACCCCGGCGCGCCGCGCTTCGGGGCCCAGGAGCTGCGGCCCTTCCCGGAGCCCCACGGCAGCCTCCTGCCCGCCGTGCTGGTGCTGCCCGAGGGGGGCACGGAGCCGCCGCCGCCCTGAGGGGTCCCCAGGAGCCGTGGCAGACGGAGAAGGAGCCCTCAGCCCGAGCTCTGCGATCCCAGCCCGCAATGGACCCGGCTTCTTCCCGCTGCTCGGGATGCAGGAAGGGGTCAAACCCTCGGATCCAGGCTCTTCCCACTTCCTGGGATGCAGGAA